TTGTTCATAAAAGGATTAGAAATGAATGACATGCATGACGCAATCATATCCAGGTGTGTGTGATGTCATAACTGGAACAGTATCAAATGACCCGTGGCATTAGTGAGGTAACATAGTTAAGGTTGAACTTGCAATTTTTAAATTTATTGTCTTCTCTAATGTGTGATTCCAACGAGAATTAGATTTTTTCTACGGAACGCAGTTACAATTCCGCAAAAGAGGAAAGTTTTGCGACGCCGCAGAAAAATTGAAACGACGCACGGACATACATTATATAGACTCGCAATTAGAAAAATTAATTTGGTACGTACTGGCTCCATCGATCATTCCATCCTACTCTTCATAAAATAACAACCAAAATTCAATAATCTGTCTGTTCTATGACACAATAGACCTGGTAGAAATATGTAACCACCAACATGAATGAAATGTTTACAGATATGAACCATTACAAAAACACGACGAAACCTAATGAATTTGAAAAAAAATATTTAAATTTTCCGATATTGGTAATTTTGATTTTAATGGCTGCTTACACTTCTAAAAACACTAGCATGAGAACGGAGACGAGAAACGCAAGACCACGATCACTGTTTCTGAAAACCGAACTGGACCTCGACTTTCCTGGACTATTGGAGATACTCCGAAACAACAATAGCACAACGGATTACGTCAAATACATTAAAGGACTATACGTAAGCCGAAAAGGCACATGGATTATAACTTTTGCTGCCAAGGAAGACCAGAACTCTAGCTGCAGAGAGGAGTTTTTGAATGCCACCAATGGGCAAATAAGAACAAATGATGCTCTGATCTCCGTTACTATGCCTAGCGGAGCTCCAGTACGAAGATCGATAAAGGAAATACCCGAAGAAGCATCATACCCCAAAGTTGCCTCAATTATAAACCAACTTGGCTGTGGCAAAGTTAGGAACGCCGTCAGAAATTGGCACAAAGGTACTGACGTCTACAACGGCTTTACGTCTTTTCTAATAGATGACTTTACGAAAGATAGACTACCGGACTTTTTAACAATCAATGGGATTAGATGTAAAACCTATCTCCCCCGCGAAATGTACATACCAAAATGTGGGCGATGTCTTGAAATAGGGCATACGTTCATAAATTGTGAAAAAGAAGCAGTATGTCGATATTGTAAAGAACCAGGTCAGATAAGAAATTTTTTTAAACAAAGAGCAATGGATTATCCGACTCCCGCAAACCCCATTCAAGCTTGGGCCATGCCAAAACAAAGAAGACCGCTAATTAACAACGTTACAAATTCACCCAGTAAAACTATGGAACACAGCAAGCAAAACAACGATAAAATTACACCTAATCAGGAAACCCAATCAACGGAATTATTGACGCCGACCAAAACAAAAGGAAATAAAGATCAAACGGAAGACCACCACCCTGCGCCAATCGAGATATCTGAATTCTCTCCAACATCAAGCCAACAGCTTAGGGAACTATCCGATTGGTCTTTGTGCGAAGAGGTTGATGACTTCCATCAGCCCGATATGTACACCAACGGTCCAGCCCAAAGCAGCTAATAACAGACAGGCTGCAAGACTAAAAAAGAGCTCGACCACCGGAAATACGCCATTCCATCCGCCACCGAAGGGTCGAGCTTACGTGAGGGAAATGGTGCATAATCTCGAAAGACAGGATTCAACAGCATCTACGTTCAGCGCCTATCCACAAGAGGTGACCCCAGCACCAGCAGACTTGAGGAATAGAACAGCTCAGCCAAAATCAAATAACTCGAATTTAACGGATACCGGAGATACGGAATACAATAATAAGAGGAATAGAAATGATACCACTCCATCAGAGACGTCAATGACGGGAAAACAGGAGCAGAAAAAAGAAAAACGTACGTGAGTTAGAATCAGTTTTCTCTATACTTCGGATTTAACACGTCTACTGGCGCAAATTCTAAAAATCATGAAATAATTGATAGATTTCAGAATATTATGTATCTATACCATATCTTGTAGCTTATACCCTTCAGTCGCCTATATAATTCAATATGGCCAAGCCTCTATGAATGCAAATGGGGTGAAATGCCATATGAAGGAATTTGATAACTTTATAAAATTAAAGATGCCCAGTGTGTTGTGTATTCAATAGGCTCACAGACTTGACAAATCATACACAACGCAATGGGCAAACGATTGCGGAATGCGGATATAGCATATACTATAATACTCTTGATAAGGACGATATATATCATACTACCTTCAAGCTAGGAACATTAATAATGGTCAAAGATGTCGACATGACCCAACCGGCAACTTACACCATTTCGACATGGTCAACCATGGTTTTATGTTTAAAATTCTACAAAATATTGGAATTGGAAATAGGGTCTCTAATATGTTAAAAAGCATGTACACCGAAATCAGTAGCAAAGTGGATGTAAATGGTAGGCTATCGAATGAAATAATAATTCGAAGAGGAATTTGGCAAGGCTGTCCGATCAGCATGATGTTGTACGCTCTGAACACAGAGCCATTCGCCAGATCGGTTTTATCGAACAACAACATTCGCGGCATAAAATTAGGATCGTTCAAGCACAAGATCAACCAATACGCGGACGATGTCACATTCACGGTTCGCGATCAAACATCAATTAGCGAAATCTTTAAAGAACTGCACCGATTCGAAACTGCAACTGGACAAAAAACAAACATTGAAAAAACAGAAATACTTTGCCTCACAAGAACCTCTCATAAATTTATCTTCAACTCACCATACCGGATCTATATAAAGAAAAACACCAAGATCCTCGGCATACATTTTGGAGAAATAGGACTTGACAAAATGTGGAATGAAATCGTATACAAATTAAATCGGACCCTCAATTATATAAAATTACGTCGCCTAACTTGGTTTGGTAAACAAATAGTCATAAATTCGATATTAATGTCAGTTATAATATTCCATAATTCCCCCCCATAAACGGAAGCATAAACGAGCCTATACCATCTTCAAACCCACATGAAAATGATGAATCGGAATGTCATGCTGTGTGCGTTTTACACGTTTTCACATAGTGTGTACGGAAGCCGGGTCGGCGGAAGTTGAGCTATGCTATGCGTGGCATTGACGGAAGCCCTGGACGAACGTCATGCTATTTGGCACATGGTATGTACCGAAGCTCATGGCCGAAGTTTTTGCCGTGTAGGGCATGGCAGATATGGAAGCCTTGGTGGCGGAAGTCGTGCTGTGCCCTGCAGGGTATAGACAGAAGCCCCGGGATAGCGTTGTGCTGTGACATACAGCATGTACCTACCCCGGGGTGGAAGTCTGTGCCATGCTATGGCGCAGCTAAGACCGAAGCCTCCCTATTTGTATGACTGCAGCTTACGCAGTGGCATGCTTATGAAGCGTTATATCGATAAGGACTCGGATATGACGTGTCTTTTAGATACTGATCCGAAACTGGGAAAATTCTGATCCGTAAAGGAGCAAAAAAAAAAACTCAGACAAAAAATCGATAACATTAATTCCTTTATAACGACTTATCATTGGTTTAGCATGTATTTTCAGTCATACATACCATCCCTGGCGCTGTGTTGTTTTGATAAATATGATTTCGACTGCACCATAGTTGGCAGAGGTATGGAAATTTTTTGTATGTGAAAAAAACGTAAAATTAATGGTAATTTTTACGCGTAACTGCGCGTATTGAATTGTTTACGTCGTTCTACGCGCATTTCCGTTGAAAAAAGTAAAATTTTTTGCATTGGGGGTAGTCTGTGCGGTAATAATTAGAGCTGTGACGTCATCAAAATCGTCAATTGAAGTGTTGAACATGATAATTCTGTAAATTCAATTGTGAATTTCAGAGTAACCATTTATGCTATAATAGTCGTTTTGGTATTGTTATGTTGGGAAAAACTTGACGAAAACGTTGAAATAAAAATTTAACCCTCTACTGTACACAGAATATCTCAAAGTCCAATTTTTTTTTTTGGAATTTTTGAAATTTATTCGCATAAAAATAATTTTTTTTGGAGGAGTGTGTTTCAAAGATATATTGCTGAATAGAACTCTAGCACACGCTTTTAAAAAGCCATGAGTGAAGCTTTAGGGCTTGATGGTCGACAAAAATAAATTTTAAAATACCCTTGTAAGATGTTTACACTCGAATGGTTTGAGAAAAATTTTATTATCTAGTTCAGTTCTGTTGATCAATCTGTCTGGCTTTGAAAATCGAAATTATGCATACGACATTTAGAGACTATCATTGACCGGCGCTCCAGAAGTATGTGTACCAATATGAAGTTAACTAATTTTTTTCACCTATTTTGCATCAAGTTGTATAAATGAACTGAAACCAATGGGCGGGGGGTATATCCACTTGGCTAACACTGACAGTCGCGAACACCTAATAGGACAAAAGTGAAGAAAATTGGAATAAAATTATGGTCTAACCCTAAGCTGGTATACTATGGGAGTATCCATTGTCCTAGACGGGTCTCGTGTTTCGCATTCATTACATTCTGCTTAACATTACTGATAAATATAACATTGAATTGTTTAAAATAGACAGGCCTACAGTGAAAATCATTTTCAAATAATAAAAAAAATATATAATTCTTAGATTAACTGTTGCCCGGATAAAGTAATATAGCTATAATTTGTTCTTTACTGGCATTATTGGGGTAAAACAATTAATTCAAAAAGATGTCAAACCTTTTATTTTTAAAGTTAAAATGGTAGAGTTTTTCAAATTTAGACAAATTCATTTAAGTAACCGTATTTAAAATACTTATTTTTTCAAATGGGAATATTTGAAACAAGAATAACGGCGGTTTTATGATAGGAAAAATTTTACGAAAGATTCTTTGAACCGGTTAAATTCTGGAACATGCATTTAAAAAAAATGGATATTGAGGGTATGCACTTTAGCCTGAGTTGTAGTTAAGCTATACAGACTATAGTTTTCTGAATATTGTTGCAATTCTTTAGAAGTAAGAAGGAAGTGATCACTTTTCACAAAGGTATAATTTATTTGTGGAACAAAGGGCATCTATCAACTTATATTGGAGAGGCTCGCGCATGCAAGCGCATCTTTCATCCCGACGATTTGGTTCACCCTCGCTCCATGGTGTATTAGAAGAAGTTGATGAAACTCCGTCCGACCATTTCCAGTTGTTTTGTTTCTTAAGGTCGTCAAGTCCTATCCAGATCGAAGTTTCTGTTTTTCTATTAAAATTGCCGACAAGATCGCTGAAAATTATATTTATTATATTTATAGTAAACATAGTGAACATAAATTAGACCAACAATATCAAATAATTTAAGAAAGGAAATAATGAAGTTCGATGTATTATTTAATAAGGCATTGAATTCCCAACATTCCTTTTCTTATTCGAAATGCGAAACGAGAGTAAAAGACTTGAGCTGTTCAATATTTATTTTTGAACAATAATTTGAAGAAGGTCAAACTCCAAACTTCAGTTTTATATGTTGTATTTTTAAAACCCATCTTATCGCTTTCCCGCAACTTCTAGATCAATCGACTTGAATTTTTCCTCAATAGAAGGTTGAATCAGTCGGAAGACGCATATAGCCTTTTTCCAATTCTTTCGTCCCCAATCGTGCCAAAAGTTCACTCGAAATGCATCTCGTTCTCGTTACAAAATAAGTCTGAAACTACATAACTCACTCACACCCTATACAAAGAAAACATATGAGAAGGTTCCACAATGACGCATCATATAGCTTTTCCACAATAAACTTGAGATCGTGAAAGTGTTTTTGGATTACGGGTGAAGTTTAAATATTGTTGAGTCAAATTTCTATATGGCAATACTAATATTATCATTGTGATATACAATGTTGAATTACCTGCGAATAGTAGGGTTGCGTATACCCGTTGTTGCTAATCGGCCTCCCATGCGTTCGCAGTTTTTCCTGGCAGTTTGATAGTCTGACGCTACTTTGACCAATTTGTACCAATATGGGTAACTGGGAACACGATACCAACCATCTGCTAAGGGTTGTAATTCTCGAGCTAAAATTAAAATAAGAACAAATATAAAACCATATAAAAAAAGCTTTATAATTGCTTAAAGTACGAATTTATCTACAAAGCCAAAACTCCATATTGACGTTTAGATCCAGAGAGCGATTTGCAAATTCTCATTTTAGCCATATATGCAACACTTGCGACACAATCAATTGACGTGAAGTATTTAAATAAAATAATGCAATAATGTATAGGATATGATTTTGAGATAGTAACCTTTCACCAATTAACGTAAAGTTCTTGAATAAAACAATGTAATATAGCAGTGGCGGCGCGTGGTCATTTTGACAACCGGGGCAAGCTACTGCGGGACCAAGTCACCCCCATCTACGGGCACAGGATGAGCGCTGTAAGTTCTCCCATCATTTTATGAGTATAAAAACCATTCCATCGGTAACAACCAATCGGCAAAAGCGACAATTTTTAACGATAAGAAAGTGTCTTTAAAACCGGTCCAAGTCAAGGGATTAATAAATATAGACATAGTTTATTTTGAAACCTCTTTCAAAAGGAAAGGCAATATTTACCCAGATAAATACAATGACATATTAACAGAAACTTCGGGAAAGCAGACAAAACCTAAAATAAGGTTTAAAACGTTACTATGAATAAAGGAAAGCTAATGCAAAGATAAGGACCAGCGTCGCTCACTCATAGATATATATGCTGCTAGATTTCTACTGCTTGAACATATATGCAACACGCCGCGGTTTCTTGGAAGCAAAATGCTCAATAACGCGCTGATTAAAGTCATGCATCCCAGAAATAACGTCTCTGTGAATGGATAAACAGCCAAGGAATTTAATCTATCTTGCTTCATTGTGTTTCTGAGATACGTTTTAATACGCTTCAGCGTGCTGAATGTTCGCTCTGCGTCGGCGGAAGAAATAGGCGTCGTCAAAATGATGTCCAGAAATTTTGCAGACGCCGCAAAGGTATTTACTAGAGTGTTATCTATGAGGAACCCATAGAGCGCGCAAGTTGATGTGATGTTCAAAGAAGTTTGATTGGTGTATATACATCGCAGTAGCCAACAAATGGATAGGAAATTGACGTGCAAATTTTGAAAATTTTTTAGGGTTCATCAAAGAGAACGCGGCAAGATGTTCAGTGCGCAGACAATCGCCTATTTGATTCACCAGAATGTCACAGCATTCTTTTGCAGACAAAATCAAACGCTGCGTTGTTTGCCCGCGGCGTAAAGAAGTACTCCATGTGTCATCGTATTTTATTGTTTCCCGGATACGAGATACAGCATCGCAGAAGTCTGAAATACACGACTGCACAGACGCTCCATCCATTAGCCTTGACTGCAATGCGCCGTATAATACATCCACGTGATAGAATATTGTGGAGAAAAAAGCGAGAAAAAATGAAAACTCACCATCTTCTAGCAAAAGTTTTAGACCTGCCCCCCCCCTCACAGAGCGTTCGTCCCAAACCGGAGAGCTCTGAATGCCATTGAAACACTCAATGAGCTCAGACCTAATTTCGGACACGCCCTGCACCACGCGTGATTTGAAGTTCTATCGTGTTGGTGCACAAGATGGGAGACGGCGGCTACATATCTGGCGAAGGAGGTCAGAGCGCTTCAGCGAAACGGAAAAAAATGAAAAAACCCTGAAACATTTGCAAAAAATATACGGACAAGAGGGGTATCAAGACACATATTTTTAATAACGAGGTTAAATTGGTGTGCATAACAATGTAAAAAATGCGCATGAGGAAAATCTTCTTTTATATAAACTTGAACACCATGTTTCGACCCACTCATGACTGCCGCGCCGTCATAAGTTTGAGCTATCAATTTTGACTTCGCGTTCTAAGGCTGTAACACTTCTTTCAGTACAGCCGATATCCCGCAAGCCGTGCGATCAACGATTGGTACAAAGCTGTGAAATCTCTCGGTAGGTTTACCATCTTTCACAAACCGAAACATCACAGCCAGTTGGGAAACGCACGTGATGTCAGTTGTCTCGTCAGACTGAATCGGAAGGAACTGGCAACTTCTCAATTTCCAGAGCCAAATGTTGTAAATAAATTTTATACATTGAGTCGAGCAAATCATTTTGGATATCCTTAGATGTCCCTTTCGAAACAGTTGCGGCATCAAGATGATCTCTCAATACTGTATCTAGGGATGCGGTGTATTCCACCATATCCAAAAATACCCCTCTATTAGAAGAGCCAGCCCTTTTATCGTGCCCACGGAGGGACAGCTCATGACAACCAATGAACTTCAAAACATCTATCAATCGACCGAGAACATGGCGGTTTTTCTCTACGTTTTGGTTGTGCCGACGAATAGAAACCGCGCGTCCTTCACCCAACTGTGCTGCAATATTAACATTTCCGAATGTTCGGTATTTTACTGCATTGTCCAGATGCTCCATAGAAGATTGATGATCCCTGGCAGGCTCGGAAAGATGTTTAAGATCTCTAAAACCAAATTTACACCAACGTGAGTCACGGGTGGTAGCAAAAAAGTAGGCAATAAAAACAAAAAAGTGCATTTTTGTCCTCGCTGTAACACAACCATTCGTGTTTTTTATACCAAGTTTCTGCGCAGAATGTACGCCGACGCTTTCCTCCGTCATGGGATTGTTCCAGTGAACAATTTTTTGGTTGATAAGGCCCAAGACGTTGTACCTCTAATTTTTGTTCCAGCGGCAGCTGCGAAAACGGAGTGCGAAGTAGTGCATTAACATTATTCATTATGAGGTCTAAGGCTAAGAAATGCGAAGCCGGAAAGAAGTGAGGAGCTCAAAAGGAATGTGGAAAATCGAAAGCAAATGGACTAAAGGTCTCTAACTGATTCAAATAGCGGAACAAGCGACAAAAACGAAGGCGAGGAAACTATCAACTCTTCAAGCAACCAACGAACGAGAAGGAATGCGTGAATATGTCAACACGTTGTTGTAAGAAACGTCGGCATTGTGTCGTCATAATTTCGGGGCTAGCCCCGATCGGCCCCGATGATTTAGTAAAAGAAACAGGAAACAAACGAGACAAACGCGGCGAGTGGAAGATAAAAGAGAGAATACGATATACAATGAGCAACCGGGGCAAAATCGGCGTCGACGTTCGGCGAAGGCTTTGGAGCGAAAAATGAACCATGTCGGGAGAATATGGCTAGTGTAGACAGTCTGTGCAACCGATATTGAGGTATTTTTCGAATATTTTTTATTATACCGAAAAAACAACCGGGGCATTGCCCCGGTTGGCCCTATTGACGCGCCGCCACTGTAATAAAGTATAACTAGGGTATGGATTTGGGATAATAACCTTTTTCTTCTTCGAGAATTTGAACTTTGTGTGCCAACTCATCATATCGTGAGCAATTACATGGTGTTCCACCTTCTCCTTTAGCTCCCTGACGTCCCGTGGCGCCATTTTGTCCTGGTGATCCGATATCACCTTTTGAACCTTCTGGGCCTTTCTTGCCTGGTCGACATGTTGTTTGACATTGAGAATCATTTGGAACTAAAGAATAATAGTTTACAAAATTCTTACACGTTGACGTGGTATTTAGCAGAGTTATGTTTGTATTTCTAATTTATCACTTACATCGACTTTTTTGTATTCATGAAATTATCATTTTTAATTATTTATTCATTACAAGTCTGTAAATATTTAAAAATATTCCAATATTTTACCATTTATTGCTGTTTCGCGAGCTTTTTCCATGATTAAAGATGCCATGTCCCAGGTGTCTTAAACTGAAAATATATACTCTCTTAACAACGGACTTGGTTGTTATTTGACGATGGCACTAAGCCTGCTCACGATGCAAGTTTTCAAATTACTCAAATATGACAATTCGTAATAAAATGAGTGTCAAAAGAAAGGTGACAAGGAGGAAACGTAATTCCTTGCCCACCACAACGGTAAACCACAGTGTCAGGTTTGCTTTCAAGTAATATCTGGCACGAAAGAATATAATTTGAAGCGCCATGACATACCCAAACGCGAGATGCGGAAAATACAACGGTAATTCCCGGGAATTTATTTTAAAATAACTGAAGGCTTTATATATCTTCTTCAAAAGAAACGTCAACTATGCAACATATAATTGGTCTGATTAGAACGGCGAGCTCTCCTTTTTTTTATTAAATTTAAAGTAAGTAAACTTTACGATATTTCGATCCCTTTTGGGTTTTCTCCGACCTCCACAAAAATTTTTGCGGTCCTTCAACCTAGCAACCTTGAACCACCCTTAGGTAGACTACTGCAGTGCTCTTCAACGGGGTGTACGGGGTGTACCCAAGTGTATACCGGACTATAAGTTGGGTATACAACTAATAAAGGGTATACGAAGGGTGTACAGCCTAAGTCAGGGAATCTAAACCCTAATATAATAAATTATAAAAAATATTCAAGCGAAGACAACAATGCAAACGCGGCACACATAAAATATAAAATGTCATTCACGCAAAGAACCGACGTGAGCACATTGTTACACCACAAATTATATAGATAATGTGATCACATACATGTCTGGGTTGGTGATATTGTCTGTCATGCACTTCGTTTGATTTACGCTGAACATTATCCCCGTTGACGCTATGACCGTCAGTCAAATTTATAACTTGCGGACACTAGCATATTAGATTGCATGATGCTATTGCAGTACAATATGTGTTTAAAATTTTTGTTCATTTAGGCCTTGATTGACATTGGTATTTGTAAGGTATACAAAGTTATTGAAAAATTGTAAAAGGTATATGACGATAAAAAGGTTGAAGAAAACTGGACTACTGTGTATCGGTAAAAATTTCAAACTACAGTTGTTCCTTGAATCTTTTGGTATTTTGATTCACGTTGAGACTAGACGCATGAATCGTCATCGTCACACGCCATGAATAAAGCTCAATCAATGTATCGGCCCGATATTGCGTGTTTGCCGATATATCATATCGGCATTAAACGGCCGTTATATATACCAGTTGAAAAACCTAAATCTTTTCGTTAAAGTTGTTTTATTTACTGTTGGTTGTGATTATTTTTAATGGATAATACACTTATGTGGTTTATTGTTTTTATAATTCAAATTACACATAAGGGGGCACCGAAGTCTTAAGTGCTTAGGGCACCAAAGGGGCATAATCCGCCCCTGTGTACAATAGAGATCTGTGGAAGGATGTAGTCAAATTGGTCCGGGTCACACTCCGGATTTGATGATGATGGTGATGAATGGAGATAAATTTCTTTCGACTAGTGGTTCATAGAAACAATCGTTGTAATCCGCACTACATCTTACAAACAATTTAACATGTCACTGCTTGACGTCAATGATATGATTGTATATATGCAATGCTGGTACACGAATGTTAAAAATACTATAATTTAAGAATTCGATATTAAAATATTTACACCCGCATTGTTTGAGAAAAATTTATTATCAAATTTAGTGTTGTTCAAACCAAATCCACTGTTGCTCAATCCAAAGTTATCTTCACGAATTCACGAAACTAAATGTCCTGGTATAAGTGTTTCCCATTTATTACATTCTGACTAGCATTACTGATAAATATAAATATCATTCCATTTCAAAATAAACAGATCTACAATTAAAAATCGTGTTTAAATAATAAAAAATAATTTATAATTCTTGAATTCGCTGTTGCTCGGATAAAGTAATATGGCTATTATTTAATATTTGTTTTTTTTTAACATGCACAGATGTTTTATCTTTTATATGGGCGGGCAATTACTTTTCTGAGGGGGCCAGTTCGATATAATAGTTAGTAACTTAGTTACTGAGCCAGAGGCTCAAAACTCATTATGAATAAACAACCAAAAACTATGAATAGATTATAGTTCATTTACATCAATTAGTCCAACAGCTAGGCTATTGTTCATATAATAACAAGAAGTTTTATTTAGTTTTTCAAATTTAGACAAATTCAATTAAATAACGGTATATTTAAATATTTAACATTTCAAACGAGAAAAATTGGAACAATGATAACTCATGAATAAAAATAGAAATAAATTTTCGAAATGATTTTTTGAACCAGTTTAATTCTGAACATGCATTTAAAAGAAATTAAAAAAGAATTTGGCCCGTATTGATATTGAGGGCTTAAACTTTAGCCTGGGTTGTGGATAGGCTACAGAGTATAATTTCCTGATTATTGTTGCAGTTCTTTGAAAGTAAGAAAGAAAAATTACTTTTCACAAAGGTAGAATCTTTTTATGTAACAAAAGGTATCTATCAGCTCATATTGTAGAGCATTGTACATGCAAGCACATCTTTCATTTGGACCATTTGGTTCTCCTCCACTCCACGGTGTATTAGAAGAAGTAGATGAAACTCCGTCCGACCATTTCCAGTTGTTTTGGTTCTCAAGGTCGTCAAGTCCTATCCAGATCGAAGTTCCTGTTCTTCTGATAAACGTGTCGAGAAGATCGCTAAAAATGAAATTTATTGTATTTTGAACATAGTGAACATAATTTAGTCCAACAATACCAAAAAACCTGAAAAAGTAAATAATCAAGTTCGACGTATTATTTTCTGAGGCAGTGCTTCCCAACCTTTTTTTATGTCGCGGCACACTATTGAGCTATTTAAATATTCGCGGCACGCCTATCACAAAACAGGAACATTTCCTATTCTTGAAGCCATTTAGCTATAAAATAATAGATCAGATAAGGAAGAATCTATTCTTGTTAATATAACATATCCTGTATTTAAAATGGATGGTTAATAGTTACCGATATTATAACTGTTTTCTCACAATAACGTACACGAGACCCACTTTCGGAGCACCTCACATTATCGTAAAAGATGCGCGGCCGCACGGGTAATACGTGACGCGTATACGCTTTAGTTTATCTCGTCCCTCCCCTGGGTGTAGCTTTATTATTACCACAGGTATTCTCACTTTTGCACACCTAATTTATTTTTGATACAATTTAATGTTTCTCCCATTGCCAAAATCATTCAACGGTGTAATTGTCGGTACTATAGCGAAGTAAATGAAAGAGGCAAACAAACCGTATTTCATTATAACAATTAATTATTATCGCTAAAAACACTAAATAGGTTTAAAGTTGCTATAAACAATTTTCACCGATGAACGAATCTTTTCACGTTATGAATTTCGTGCAATGCCCGAGCATAATTTGATAGCAAAGATCGTAGCATTTACTATGTCGAAAAGCTTATTCTTCTTTTCAGACTGCAGAAACTATCCGAAAAACAATTGTTTCTGTGTTCGAAATATGAAATAATCGTCAATTCCACCACGCTTTCGTGAAGTAGTGCAATTTACTAAATTTTTTGAAGGTTTTATTATTAAGTTTCATTACATCAGTGTTTGTGCTACCACGCGTTTCGCCTGATTACTGGTGTGATTACAGATCGCAAGGATGGGCAAAAGAAAATATTTTTATCGAATCGAATAATTCGAATATTTTTAATGAATTGTCGAATATCGGATATTTTTAATACACATACAATGGGCATCCAGGCATTCTAATGTTGGTGATCTATTTCCGCCCGTCCTCTCTTTTTTTACAAGAAATAATTTTTATGCAACATTTGGTTTTATATTCTTGGGAGAACTATGCGTTCATATGGGCGACATATGTTAAAGACACCTATTAAAGAGTGAATTCGGGATTTTTGTTCTGATTTTTATCTTTTACGCTGGTTTTGATCTTTCTGTCCCAATTTTAAGCTAAAAATATTATTATTTCTGACGTCGGAATGCAGATATTTATAAAGACGATAGTTGAACTTATTATGATTTTACTTTCCTATTGTGTCTGATTTATTTTCGTATTAATTGGTGAATAAAAACCCTGCAAAGTCATTGTGTGAATACTGAATGTTATTTCGAGTTTAAATAATAATTCACTAAATCGGCAATAATGGCAATTCTACTAGTCAAATAATAATTCCTTGGTCAAGTTTGGGGAAAATTTCGCACAATAATTTGTTACCTTGGTTGACATTTTCAATTTTACGAAACGGTGTTTGCGCGCATTATGGAAAACTTGGAATTAAAATAATATCTGAAATACGACTCCTCAAATTTGTCGTTTCTGTTTGTTAGCAAGAGCCGTGGGGTAATTCTTGTGAAATTCAAGGGATTGGAAATTGGAATCACTTGAAATTAATTCAAAAATGAAATCTCTTCGCGGCACACCAAAATCTTTCCGCGGCACACTAATGTGCCGCGGCACCCTGGTTGGGAACCACTGTCTAAGGCAGTGATTCTCAAACTAGGGTTTGAGAGCCGCATGTGGCTCTCAACAGCCTTTCATGCGGCTCTTGTTAATGCTTTAAAAATTAATAACTTTCAAAGAAAATTTTCCATTGGAAACTAATCATTGACTTGAAATTAAAATGCGGAAGTCTATTAGTTAGTCGAATGGATTCCCCCGTGTTTATTTGCGTAGCGTTCACTAATCTACAAGATGCAATAGTGACGCAACAGTGAGCGTTTTTGCGGCCACCCGTACACTTTTCATTTGGAAAGATTTTAGACATGGCTGTAATCATTGACTTGCTTTCGTGGATTTTCAGTTTTTGTCGCATTTCCAAATATTATGTATAAATCAAATAACTCAATGAATATTTCAATTTCTAGAGCATTTTAATTTTGTTCCAGTAATCGAAAACAGTCCCAAAATATCTGGCGATAATCTCAAGCAGCTACTGCACCTTGCATCCTCCACGATTACGACCCGCT